CTAGCCGACAGTAGTAGGATACCAGCCGACACGACCGAAGAGAAAAAGGGAGGAAGGGCCAAAAGCCCCAGTGCTGACCCAACCAACCAACCTATCACTGTATTACCGCGTCTCTCATGTAGTCCCTTGTTCTCCGAGAGATAGCGTCACTTAGTGGAAGGGATCCCACCAGCATTAGGAAAGTGGAAAGGAGAGGTGAGGAAGGCAACCAGACTTGAACCAAGTGACTAGGAGGGTATGGCCAAATCTCACCGCGAGACAGACCCCGAAGTTACTAGCCGAGGCATTCCCCAACGGGGATCGTGCAAGTGAGGAAAAGGACATCCACAACTGCCAGCGCCGTCCGGAAACGAAGAGAGGTAGCCAACCGTGCCAAAGCTAAGCGAGCTGCCATTAGCAAGACGGGACTACTGGGCGAGCGCAGATAACTCCCCTATCAAGCAGACAAGAGACTAGCGAGGCCAGAGCGGGAGAGGATGGAAGAGTTAACCGTGCCCCTAGGCATGAACCATCGAGGGGGCAGAGGGGAGTGGGGGGGGCCCACGATAGTTTACGTGGTGTTGCCAAACTATGTGGGAGGAAAATAGGAGCGACGGAGCGTGGTGTACTACAGGTCCCTAGACCCCTTTATTTATACATATACCTCACCCAACTGTAACCCTGTATGACTCCTACCTTCATGACACCATATCCTATGACTTAAAAGTGTAAATTATGTGAAATCCTCAGCTGACTCACATGAGTCAACTGTGCAACATACCTAAACCAATCACAAATATCCTAATAAGTTATGTGCACAAGTGCATCATATGTGTGAAACTCATGACTCATACATAATAGTCACGCACAAAAGTTATAATATCATATAACTCACAACTATGAATCATCACATAACAATAAACACCTATGACTTGCAAGTGCGAGTCATGTAAAAACCTTATTCCTTCGTTCCAATCTGTCTTGTCACAATCCAGTTTCTGATACTAAGCTTTCTCAATGCCTACCAGAGTTGCATTTTGCCTAATACTCTATCTACATTTCCTCCCTATTTTCCCTCTTCTTCTTTGAACCAAATTTTGAATTTCAAAAATCTGCATAATTTACAAGCTTCATGCCATTCTGTGAATCCAAATATACTAAAAAGCCAAATGTGACAGGTACGATAACAGAAGCTTATAGGAAGAAAGTGAGATATTGTATACCAAAATGTGAATGACCCACAAATAGAAGGTATAAGTCTGATGGTCAGGCACAGAATATCTCAGATAATTAGTCAATACCAGGGGTTAAATTTCAGATCCGTAAAGTATTACGGTAAAATCAACTTTCAGACAATCTATAAAGACATGAGCTTCATATTGAATGGTTGGCTATGATAGAACGAATGGTTTGTTCTTGTGGTAACACCTGACCCTTATCAAAATCACGCATTTCACGGGTGCACCTAGGCTGGTACATGCTTTAGATGCTTTATACTATATGAACACAACCTCCGCCCGGCTACCATACGATCTTAACAACCCTCTCCGGAGATAATCAATTTGATATGTTAGCACAGTACATAATAAATTATTCTATCATACATATCTCTACCTTCCCATCCGTATGTCATCGGTATGTGAACCTTTGTATTTTTACAAATGTTAGAGAATTACAAGTAGGAAAGAAGAAAGTAAAAATTTGTAGAGAAAAGAACTTGGTCCTCTCCATTCACCACCTCTAGGATAAATCTTGCCTTGTATTTCTATTCGGCACACTCCCGCAAATAAACATCGAATAGAGGAGAACGAAAAAAACGAGAGAGCTAAAGTCATGCCCGATAATTCCTATTGTCCAATTAACGTCACTCAACACTTAATCGCTAGGGCGATCTTGGCGGACGCACTATATGCCCGAATGCACCTATTGCGAGGTTGAACTCGAAAAAATGCCTCAGGAGGTAAAGTTTCAACCCTTCGGTTTTCGGATCACTTTCACCTCAATGCTCCAGGAACTGGTCGAGGCCACAGGTTTCTGCTACCCTCAAACCCTCGTTTCGCACGCCCCCCCCGAACAGGTGCTCAGTTGACAGAGACAACCCACCCTAGACGTGTGCTGCTGCTTTCGTAGCTTGCCAGCACCGGTTAATGACCTAGGGTATTGGTTGATCTTCACCAAAGGTGTGATAGTATAGCCGGTGAGCTCTTGAAAATGGCATCTACGCAATTGCCATGCTCGAACTACCGGTATTCCTACCCTCAGAACATCCTAGGGAACTAAGAAGCAACAAATACAGACTAAGGGATGGTCCCGAGAGACTAAACGTTAGACCAGAGTACTCGCACCCGTGAAAAACGAAATAATTTTCTTCGTAACCAGGACTGTGATGCTTGTAAATTAGACTTGGGTTCAGGTACCGTGTACTAAGGCGATAAATCACTATCTCGACATGATAAAACCATGAATATGAAAATTTAATCAACATTAAGGTAGATAAGGGGCAGTTAACATTAATTCTTCCTTCTCTTTTTCCCCGGTTAGAAAGAAAGCATGTCAAGCTATCATAAAGTCAAATTTAAAAGCATTGCGGTCCTGGCCACGTCCAAAATTGTCGCGATTTTCTCGAGAGATAGGACCATCATCTAGTCTTCCAGAACCATGCAAACGGTGCTCATAGGGTTCAAGTATGATACACCGCTCTACTATGATACCGTATCTGTAGTCGGGGCTGAGCTTGTGGGGAGCAGAGAGGGGCAAGGGGATGTTAGAACACGAATTTGTCATCCCGCCGCCCCGCTGTTTACTCCCGGGGTCCCCAAGGATGCCTTATCATGTAAGCAGGTATGATAGCTAACCTTCAGAGGATTGTCACGCGTCGTGCAGGCTTTTGGACAGCGCCTGACTTGCAAGCCAGACCTTTGCTCGAGTATTGTTTCCCTACTCAGACCTCCCTTTACTTCAACAGGTGTGGATACCACAAGTACTGTACTCTGTTGTCAAGGGAAATGTATGTATTTTGAAGGCCTTACGCCTTGCCGAGTGTCGGAGCATGCACCCCGGGGAAAAGGACCCCTTCAACCCCATTAAATGTTTTACCCACGTATCGCGAGAAATCAAAAAAGCTGTCCCTTGGATTGTGTGTAATGCGAGTGAGGAGGGACCAAAGGCAGCAGAACGGCCAAAGGGCCAGACTATGGGGTATCGGAATTTTATTGAGCGAAGCGAAGCCCCAATCCCAGTACTGGTTCTCTTTCGTTCCGGGGCCAAGTTGTGCACAGTACGAGCACTCGAGTACAGTATGATACAGTACTTGTACATCATAATCATCGCGTAATCCAGATAAGAAATAGCAGCATGTGATGTCGAGCAGCAGTCACCCATTTTGCTTCAGAATTGGTGAGCATTCCCACGGCAACCAGCTGCCCCAAACCAGGCGAGGGTCATACACACCCACCAGCCGCACCCACACCGTAGGATATCATGCATTAAAAGGGGACAACAGGAATCAAGCAACCATCATATCGGTTGTCTTCTCGGCAACGGCGAGGGGAAAGATAGATAGATGGTGAACAATGGATGGGGAGGATGGGGGAAAACCGGGGCAGTCTTCTCAGAAGGTTTGGGTCCAAAAGTGGTGGATGGTACAAATACTTGTTCTCGGGTACCGCTATCGTGCGAGGGGCAGTGATACCAAGCACCTTTGCCTATCAGGAAGGCTCTTAGTTTGCCCACCCACTTTTTCCTTGTTTTCCCCCGCTAAACCAAGAAACTAGGCAACAGTTAGCAGGCAAGCAGGCAGGCAGGCAGGCGGCCAGGACAGGAATGCAGCAGTTCCATGATCCATTCCCCATCCGTTCGTCCACCCCATCATCCCACCCACTCTATTAATAACCCCCCACGTTAAGGATCAGGTTACTCGAGGACAAAGTGCTCGAGTGCAACCGGCGAACCACACCATGCTCCACAACCACCGATCGAAAGGAAAAAGGAAGGGAGAAGAAATGGAACAAAAAGAAAAGAAAAAAAGAAAAGAAAAACGCACTCGAATACAGGCTAGGAAGAGGTGAGGAATAAAAAGAAAAAGGAAGGAAGGGAAAAAAAACATTTTCCCGATTGCTTTTCCCACATGCCGGTATTACCGGTAGGGTAATATTATGATACTCGAGTACTGTACTCGTAAACAGGTGACATTTCACCGTGGTACAGTACACATCGTAGCCGAAACAAACAAACAAAGCTACCGATAGACTTGGTGTACCAGTACTGTAGAAGCACTACCGTATCCATTCAACACAACTCATCACTAGCAATCACTCGTGACAGTGCAGAATATGACCGTGGGGCGTCCGGAGCAGGGTGGGCAACAAAGTAGGCAGATAAAGGCTGAGACTTACGTTGCTTCTCGTAACTTTGCCTCAAACTCCCCTGGTCCCTGCCCTACCCCCCACTCACACTCACACTCACACCATCGTTTCGAACAAGGCGTTCCCTCCGTCCTTCCTTCCACTCAGCCCTGGTCCGGTGCAATTGTGTTGTACTGTATGATGCTCTCTACCTGCCCCCTAACACTTTCACCCTTTGATGCTTCATGGTGCGAATGACGAGGTAAGCCCTACCGGTATGGGGCCAATGCACAGGACCCCGAGCGGATGTTTGAAAGCGCGAAAGGATGCAGCGTCCGACAGGATTCGGTGTAAAGTGCCCGTACTGTATTTTGTATACCAGGTATGTACGAGTACTCCTTGTTCCTGGCCAGCATGGAGACAAAGTGAAAACCCAACCCACTCGAAACAAATATTGAACTCTCCGGAATTCGCCGGTGGTAATGTTTTAGTAAAACCTCGATTAGCGTGCTGAGTCAATCCTACAAACACTGCGCCATTTCTGCAATGTCATTGTGCGAGTAATCCCCCAACTATTGTGAGTTAGACCTCGTCTCCAGCTGCATGTGATGGTAGCAAGGGGCGGGGGGGTTGGGTTAAGTGGTGAAGGTGATTACTCGCAACGCACTCGAGAGCTAGATTGATGGTTGATTTATTCATACGGCACTTTCTAGAAAAACACCCCCTTTCTCCAATCCCCCGCCCCGCCTTTCCCCACTTTTGCCCAAACATCTCAGCGCTTTGTTGCTACCCGTTGAAACAAATCGAGATCAGAAGAAGAAAAGGAAAGAAAAGAAAAAACAATAAAAAGCACCAAACGAAATAAACAAAGATAAAGGAAATCGTTAGGGAAATTGAAATTTATGTATCTCGTTAGAGGGAAAAAAAAATGGGGAATCAAGGAAAATCGTGGAAATATCAACAACTGAAGATTGGAAAGAGGAGAAAGTGAAGGGACAACAATAAACGAGAAAACAAAACAAAACACAATCGTACTCGCCTTGCAATACTGGTATAAATAGTAGTAATAACGTTAATAGCGATGATAAGAATAATAAAAAGAGACCGCGCCTTGTCCCCAACTCCTTACCAAAAAGCTTTATGAGAACAGAACCAAACTCCAGAATCGGCGTAAAATAGAAATAAAATCCAGGATATAGACGCAAAGCGTGTGAGTTGTTTTTTCTTTCTTTTTAGTTTGGAAAAACGAGTGGCGTAGCCATATAGAGGCAAACAAAACCAGTGGAAAAGCATCAACATAACTCCAAACGTTAAAACAAAGTAAATACCCAGTGACAAGAAAGCAATACAAAGGGGGAAGAGAAGAGAAAACAAGAAACATAAAAAAGGAAAAAGGACAAGGGGGTAGGATCGACAAGTCTTCTAGGAAAAGTCCTCGACCTCGAAAATGGGCTCAGGGCCCGGAATGGCCATTGCTAAATCGTCATCGCAGAAGACCCCCGAAGTACCCTTGGTGGCAGCAGGGCCCGGGAGGTTGGCGAAGATTGTACTGGCAGTTTCCCCGCCCGTTGGAGGCTGCACGGCCCGTCCGGCCTGTAACAGATGCGCCAATATTTGATGTTGGGGTAGTGTCATGCCGCTCTGTTCCCCAGCTGCATTATCTTGACGATTCAGGGCGTCTGCCAGCGGTATGGAACCGCCTGAGACGGTAAATTGAACTCCATAATTATGGGAGAGATCAAAGACGCCACAAGGCTCATACCAGTTGTCGGGCCGTTCCCACGGGATGCTGCCAAAAGTTGTTTGTTCTGGGGGAATGTCCGACACATCCAATACCCCGTCTTGGACCACTACCGGTGCTGTGCAATTTCCTGCGGCGGTTTTCCTTGAGCAGGACACCCGTGATATGTCTTCCTCCTTAAGGCCTTCGCGAGCGCTAGTGGATTCCTTGTCGACACGCTCCCGCGGATTATCCGCCTTCGAAACATCCTTTCCCCGCGGCAATTCTGGTGAGTATTCCACGTCATCGTCTACTACCACTTGGACTTCTTCAATCCACTTCCGCAAGTCTGCCATTTCAGGGGCAGAACTGTCAAATGGCAACTTCTTTTTCTTCTCATCTTTTTTGGTGAAGTGCTGCCGCCTGAGATGCGCCGCAGCATTGTAGTCGACTCCATACCTTTTCCCGGATTGACACGCCTTGCATTTAGCCAGAAACTGACCATCTTCGGAGATGTCCTTGATAACGAACATTTTGCGAGTGGGGGCGTGTTCACGCTCCACATGACGGCGGAGCTCGTGATCGCCTCTGAATCCGTCGGGGCATTCATTGCAGAACTTGCAGTGCACCCTCGGATGCGGGGGTCGGACGTAGCAAGGCTTGGTGGTCGATACCGCGGTGTATTTGGGGCCAGATTTTCCTGGTTTAGACGCTGCCAGCACTCGGCCACCAGTAGGGAGGCTCCCGGTCGTCTCCATCTTATCGTTGGATTCTCGCTGAGTTGCTTTATCGGTAGTGGTTGAACCCTGGCGATTAGCGGATGATCCTGAGCCCCCTTTGCGTTGGGCCTGACGTCCTTGCTTTTCTTTTTCTGGGACTCCAGGTCCTGTAGCGATCGTGGTGGAAACCCCCTCATTTTGAACAGCAGCCGTGGGCTCCGCGCCCTCCTTCACACGCTTGGGCTTCCGTGACTTTACGCTCTCCGATGCGGTCGATGGATCCCTTCGCATCTCGTGTTCTACTGCGATGGCCAGTGAGTGATCAAGATCTTCCACACTCGTGCTCGAGGCCCTTTTCAGCATGTGTTGCCCGGTAGCCTTGCCCAACGACGATGAGAGTTCGGCGTCGCTTGCGAAAAGTCCAACACCATTGAGCATCGTGTCCATGTCCCCTCGGCCAAAAAAAGCGTCGTAATCCCCACCACCGTTCCCAGATGTAGAGTTCCCGGTGGATGACGAGAGCCTGAGCATCATTGCTCCATGTGTCAAACTAGCGTTACTCGCCTGACGGCTCATGGGAGTCCCGGAATTTTGCATGTAGGGAAATCGATCGGTGGGAGACCCAGACTCTCCCTGAGATGAAAAGTGAGAACTCCGGCTCATGTGGGAAGCATTTGAATGGCTTCGGGAATGGCGAGTCATCGGATGGGAGAGCAACCCCGGGCTCTCAAGGTAGCTCTCGTCGCCTCCGGTAGAGCACCTAGAGGTGGGGTTAGATAACTGAGGCTGCATAGGAGGTGCGCATATGCCCGGCGAACCGTCTATGCTGAAAGAGTAGTCTTTGTCGATCGAATCATCGCAGAAGGTCTGGGCAGCGCCACTAACCGAACGCCGTGCTAGTGGGAACGGCTCGGAGCTATCGTTCTGGCTGAGATAATCAGTGAGAGCGAGGTCCCCGCCGCCACCCATCTGGAGGACCATTGATTTAATATCGTCAAAGGACATATGCTGTGAGGCTTTTGGGGGCGGCGCGGTCTCGTGGTAGCCAGGGCGACATGTTACTGAATTCGAGACCTGATACTGGTGGGGAGACCGGCCAGACATGAAGGCAAAAGTCTGCTGCGTTGTGGGAGCTGTTCCAAAATATGAAGATGTCTGCGTTATCACACTCCCCCTTAGCATACAAATACAAGTTCCCACAGTACAGCAACTCCGATCTGCGGGGAGAAAAATGTTTACCGAGTTAGAATGAGACATTCGCTGGCTCTCAATAGGAGATGTCAACGATTGAGACCCTCCTGGACATGAACCTGCCTTTTGGGTGACAGCTCTCAAATCACTACCCGCAGATTCATCCTGAACTGGGACAGCACCGTGCTCCCCAGTCGCTGCCCCACAAAACACATCCGCACATTCACCGGGCGAAAGATTCGGGTTCTCCTCCCGGAATTTCGTGAAGCCGAGAACATAGCTTTTTAAATCGAGCGGAGCCCCTTCTCTTCGGGGGATGCCTAAAGGCGGAGCTGCCATCACCAAACTTTATCTCTCGGGCAGAAAGGATACAGCAAACACCACCGTTCTGACAAACTAAATATCTCCTTCTCAATATCCTTCTTCTCTCTTCTCCTTTCCTTGCCCGACCTTCGCTTGATCCCTTCGCTACTTTTTTCTTCCCCCCTTTCTTTCTCTTTTCCCAGCTGCCCTCTCACCCACGTCGGCTCAAATAGACCCGTAGTATTGTATAAAATAAAATGAAAGGCGATGACTTCAAACAATTATAGTATGGTCTAGCTATGTCCACTGTAACCTGCTTGGTTATGGTCAGTAAGGTTTGGATGGTCTGCGCGTCGGGAGATGGGAAATGGGAAGGATGGCGAGCCAGTGACGACCTGGCGAACCCGATTGTGCGGACAGAGCCGAACAAGACCCCGCGAATATGAAGGACAGAAGGGGCGGACAGGGCGGCATACCGTTTGTAAGTATCAGGGCGACTGCAGCACAAATATCCACGACAACTATGTTCAAATAAAAAAAGAAAAGGAAAATAAAAATAAAATAAAAATATATCAAATAATAATAAACGAAGAAAAAAAAGATGAGTCGAAAAGTGAGTTGGGCTTGAGCGTTGTTCGTTGGAGCTTGGTTGATTGATCAAGCTGGGGCGGAAGAGGAGTTATGACGAGAGATGCAGCAGCTGGAAGTGGCAGTCCTTTTGAACTCGGAACTGATCAGGCTGCTTTGTGGAAGGGACAGGAAGGAAATCTGTATCACCAAACGCGTACTTTTGAGTGCGCAGAAGTGGTCAAGTAGATTCAAAGTGGTGGAACGAATGGTAGAATCGAGGCGAACGCTACTGTGTTCCGTAGTGATTGGTCCGGCGTGCTGGGAAGCAATCCTGGAGAAGGGAAGGAGTAAGAGGGAGGGAGGGGGGGTGGGGGGGGGATTGAATGAAAGTACGACCCATCATTTTTGTTTTATTCACTTACAATAAAAATGTCGAATCATTCGGCTAGCTAGGAGATGGGAAAGAGAGCATCAAGGGAAAATCGAAGGTGTGTGTGAGAGAGGAGAGATTTTGACAAGGGGGGGGGTTCCGTTCACGTACGAGTACTGTACAGTGGCAGATGCACAGTTGTATGATAGCGTAGGTACTGTACTGTACAGCACAGTAACCTCAACATCGCTCTAGAGTAGCAAGGAGAGGTTCAATAACAGCATTACCACCAATATAGTCTAGGCAGAGCATATGTACTAACTAAACTAGTACGTGCACTGTACAGTACATGTACGAATTCTTTTCTCAGCGTGCAATACCTGCAAACACTGTAGGACTTTTCAAGTAGACTCTGGTTTTGCTACGGGAGTACAGCAAAAAGTACCTGCACCGCAAATATTCTCGAGAGCGAACGGAACTCGGTCGGATGCCGCCGTTGCGGGAAACTCGGAGGACAGGGATGCAACGGTACTCGAATAGTGGTGGGCTTGGGTGCGTTAGTGGGAATCCTGCTTGTGTGCCTTGTGGTATCATTACCTTTGGGTGAACAACAACCAACCAGCGAGTCAGCACTTGCAGGGTATGAGAGAGAATGGAATAGTCTACTACAGTACCGGTAGCGATGAAGGAAAGGATTCGAATAAGGTGCTAGTACATTGCTTCAATTGAACACGGCGGGTACAGTACTCTGTGACGGAGAAGTGGTGGTGATTCTTATTAGTCTACTGTCAACATCTTCGACCCTCCCAACAGGAGCGGGCCTCGGGCATGCTCCCCTTCCCCCTCCTCATGCAACCTCCACCGAAAAGGAAGTGTGCGCATACCTGAGTAAAAAAGAGACGCCTGTTATCCTCGTGCACAAAGCGCACCACGGCCACATCAGTATTCACAGAAATAGAAACTGTAAGAGCAAGTACGAGTACTGGCAGAGCAGTTGGAGCATCGTCGGCCCAGTATACAATGCAGAAGGGGAAAAAAGTGGACCGCCGCATGCGAAGCTTGAGAAGTAGAGAGCTCCCTCGTCTGGCGAATACAGTAATTGAAATAGGGCTAATACGAGCACTGGTTGCACTTGCTGCTACATTGCGATTCTAGTGTACCGGTATGTGGTGGATGTATCATAATGTAGCGACAAGGCGGCTACCACCGCCTCTACAAATCCGATCAGTGTCAGTTTGCTCATCCTCTATCCGCGCCGGTGTGGGCGATGCACCAGATACCTATCGTTATCACACATGGGAGACGGACATATCGCCATAGCCCTACTATATCTATCCACTCGAGTACTGTACCGTGCTTAGGTACAACCGTAGCGCCAGAATAGGCACGACAGTCATCAAGAAAGGTGCACAGCAGTGTGCTCGAGTACCGGTACCTCCTGCTTGCATCTCGAACCCCAAACTCTAATCCAGGAAAATCTACCCGAACCAGAAAAAGATTCATTCCATCACAAATTCCGATCCTTCGTTGCGATCAAACAAACGAGTCCAATCCAGCGTAGTGGGGAAAAACAAAGGAAAGTGAGTGGTTGCCCTATCATCATGATGGAATTCATGCTTTGCGCACAATCTCATGCACCCTTCTCCCTCTGCTCTATGTGCACACACCCTCAGGCCCCACACATTTCTCTCCTGGGACAAGAGTTTCCTCTTTTCGCAGCGCATCGCGCTGCCAGCAGCTTTGATTGATAGTGACGCGTGTGGTATGAGCATCGCACATTACGAAATACACAAGTGCCGAAGCTATTGTTCTCCAATCGACTGGCGAATCACTTATGGTCCCCCCTGTCGACCCGCTTCCCTTCTCCTGGCCATTTGAACGTTGGAATGTGGTGTTTGGATCACTGCCCCACCGCTTTAGGAAACTGGTAGGACCAGCGAAAGACGGGCAAACCTTTTAAGCACTGTGCCATGCATTATTTTTGCGCTAGCCTTTCGGATACCGCTGGGTAGGAAATATGCCATTGGGGAAAAGGTGAATCTTTGGGTGATGAGAGGACTCTGAGGAACAGCACGAAAAATGATTCCAAAAAAGAAAAAAAAAGACGATTATTTCTAACATATCCGACCCCTTCCCCGTTAAGGATTTATCTGTGCTTGTGTGTCTATACTGTACTTAGGTACCGGTACAGTACAGTACTCGAGTGCTCTTGCTTAGAGGTATCATATTTTGTGCCAAGCAGAATCGAAGAACCACTTAAAACATAGCCCCGCGCCTCGGAAACTGCCTAATTTGATTTGCTCGAAAATAAGAATAAAAATTGGAAACTTGTCGTCCTGGAGATAAGAAGACTACTGGTCTTCTGCAAAGTTTTGACCGCCCGTTGCAAGGTGAAACCATTTAGATGGAAGAGTATGGTACAAGTACAAGTATCATTATATGTCTCACTCAAAAATTGGTATGGGTATCGAAACATTGGGGAGGTGCTCTCATGAATAGTTGGGCGGCCCTTCCCTCCCCCTCCGAGACCAAATGCCGATACCCCCCCCTTGCACTCACCCAAACATCTGGGTTTTAGCGGATCCTCTGCCAACACACCCTTGCCTTCGCCAAGCTTAAAAAGAAGCAACGAAACTGTCATGTTTAACCGTTCCGTGGCTCTGGGAATCCGAGTGTGTGGATATTCCATATGAAAAGTCTAACAAGAAATCCCGAAAGGAATGAATAATATTATATAATCCCAGAGGATCTTGTTACCCCCCCCCCTTCTTTCTTTCTTTCTTTCTTTCGTTTTTTTATATCACTCGCTCCAGATTCCCATGGGGGAGGAGGGGTGGAGTTGCGGGACTCAAGCACCGTTATCTTTTCCATGGGGCAAAAAAAACAAAACCCCCACCTTTTTCCCCAACACCTACGCCCCCGGGAAAACGGGATATTCGCTTATTTAGGACTCATTGAGAGAACCCATCCCCCGAGCTTACTCGTCCCAGGCGAGAACGCTGAGGGTATAACTTTGATCGCATGCACATAAACGCATGGATGATGGGCGACGGATCCTCCGGGTTACCCTCTGCCATGAGACGAGTACGAGTACTGAGCCCCCCGAGCGTCATGGGAGAGTGGAAGGCGAGGGAGGAGAGGTAATAAGGGAGTTGCCGGTGCCCGAACTGGCAAAGCAGGCGATGGCGGAGCAATCAAGTAACGAAAGCTTGCAGGTAGGCAGGCAATTAGGGAAACATTATCTCATTGGATATGTCGCGATAACAGACCTACTGTTGTTGAAGTACAGTACTGTACCGGTATGATAGTTATGATACCCGTTGTTACCTTTACCTCCGCCCCTTGGGTAGACTACAGTGAAAACGGCGTACCGGTACTCGTAATGTCGAAGCGTTTTTAGAAAAGACTGCTATTGCTGGGATCTTGGTGGGATGCAATAGCAGTCCTTTTTAAAAACACTTCGACACTACGAGTACTCGAGTAGAGGAGAGGAAAAGAAAGGAGAAGCAAGAAAAGAAATGAAAAACAACAAATGAGACAGCCGGCTACTGGCTGGCCAACCTTTGACCAAAACCTCGTCGATCCAAACTCTATCCACCCGTTACACCACCGGCGATGTGCACGGAAAACTTGTATTACGCATCAATAAATAGAGCAACAATCCATGCATTGGGGCACCAATGATGCCTCTGAATTTTACTCTCGACTTGTTCCAGATCTCTCCATCCTTTGTCTACCACTGGAATAACTTTCCGTCCAACCACCCCAAACACGTAATGTGGTCTGGTGATATTTCGCTAGTTTTTTCTGATCATTTCTTTTTTTTCCGTGATGCCTTCTTCAGGCCAGCTTCTATCAACGGGGGGGAAAAAAAGCTTCTTCGAAAAGGAAAAGACACTGTAACCCTCCGAGTGCTGTGACACACCAGCTTTGTGTGCAGAGTGCCTGGCCCGGCTTCGATAATTCCACGAGTAGGGAAGGTGAGAGGGAATTTTCCCCCTACATTATCAGCTGTACAGTACTCGTACAGTACTCCAGTACTCCGCGCCCGTCTTCCACTGCGATATCCGTAATCTCTGATACCGGCGACGAATCCAGCACTTGCACCAACTCTCGGGATCTAAAAGGAGTCTAGACCAGTCCCGGTATTATTCTCTCTTTTCCCTGTTATGGTACGGTTCTGTATGGCTTTCGCAGCACCTACATTAGTCAATTATGTTCTGGTGACTCGTTGAACACCGGTCGACACTCTCCATACGACAAAGAGAAAGCAAGAGATTGGGGGCTTCCGACAAGTTCAGTGGCCTCCCGCCATGTAGGGCGAGAGTCTTATTTTATTTTTCGATGGTTTTTGTCACCTAAGGTAGGGGGTAATATATTGTAATTAAAATTTTTTCGAGTTCCAATCGTGGCATTAGGATTGCGTGAGGGGATTTCTTGGTGTTGGAAAATGGGGTAAGAAAGGTACAGTACAGTAGCTTACCAGTATCAGTTGCTCCGACACGGACCTTATTATCTACAGTTGTAAGGATAATCCCACTGCGCTCACCCGATAATGAGTAAGAGCTACTAGTGTTGGTGGTGGCCAGTGGTCACCCTCAAAATATAGTAGTCACTGGTAATCCGTTTACGCCATGACCAGTGGTCAGGACTGATCACTGCGGGGGGACATTGGAGTTTAGGATAGGTTTGGAAGGAAATTTTAAGAGAGGGAATTAAGGACTCG